AATCATCTCTGCGAAAAAATAATGAGAAAGTAACGTCGGCAGCGACGCTACCTTCGTGCTGTCGCCGCCGTTATCATATTTGTTGTCGCAGCATAAGTGTGGTGTGTGTGTGGAATAACACCAACAAACAAAACAAACATCGCAATTATAACGGTAAAGCAACAATAACAAGCTCGACAGAGACGCAACTGAGCAGCGCAATATCAACAAACTTTCAACCAGAGAAAAATTACGGTCATTTTTTTGCTGTTAACAAGAAAACAAAACACGAACAAATAAATGTACACCACGCTACAATACAGACACAAGAAATGCTCCAGCGCTCCAATGGATAAGTCCCCCGTCTTCTGTTTACAACAAAGAGAAATCGCTAGAAATGATTTTTTGCTGTTTATATGTGTGTGCAGTTTTTTTCCTCACAGCCTCCTCTTCCCAATTGCAGCAATAACAATGCTGGCATGTTATAGGCCAGAGCATCCCAAGCAAATACTTGTACTTTTGCATAAAATTTCCTTGCTTTGTTAGTAGCCATTGAGTGATGTACAGAGAGATGTTTTACGGGATGATAATGAAGTTTGGAACCTAACATGGGAAAATTCAGATCACGGAAGTTGGAAATTGCTAGTTAATTTTTGATAGCTCTCTTGTGAGCTGATAGAGATAAAGATGGACGATTTCTGGACTTACGTTCCAGGTTCTCTCCCACAATTGGCAACTGCGATCAAAGTAGACATTAGTATTATTAGAAGACTGTATATTAAATTAATAATTTAGCAAAAAAGGATGCGGAAAAAGGATTACATGTTCTTTGTTATTAGCTGGACATGAACTTCACATAATGTTAAAGTTCTTTTGATCTCGCTAAAATTGTGACCAATAATGGACGGCCACTTTTGTAAACGGGCTTGAAATGTATTAAAGCGATATACGACCTTTTACGCTCGATTGCTACTTCAGTTTTGTTAGTCATCCAAAGATCAAAATTTAGAAAATGCATTCGTGGCTTCTAAACCAGCCAACATAATCCATTCATGTGACAATTTTTTAAAAAGGTTTTGTCGAAGTAACATTTTTCCCAGAATAAAATAATACCATTATGATTGGGATGAAAGAAATACCACTAGAAAAAAGGGTTATTTTTCACTTAGTGTTCCTAAAGATAATTTGTTCCAGGTCTACAACTTAATTCGAATATCAAGGCTTCAATACACACTCCAAAATATTTTCGCGATAATATTCGGCATTTATTCTGATCTCACGGTCGATTAACACGAGCGGAGAGCGACCACCAGCTGTTATGGCGGCCCACACCATCACCATAGCCGGCGCTTGAGTTCTGGTGGCCAACCGAAGGTGCATATTGTCTGCTGACCTCTTTGGATCTCTTTAATTTATTCACATTTAAATGCTGGAGTGCTCTAACGATAGCCACTTGTGGTTTTCCCGCCAAATATAAATAAATCACACTATCACGCTTGAATTTCGTCACGAATAACTTTCTCAGCAAAAAGCTTTAGTACGCCTGTAAACAATATAATATAAGCAATATAATGCAATGAACTGTCACTAGAATAATTTGAACAGCTGTCGGACAAGTGGCTTAGAAATGACAATAGTCTGACGTTGGTTGCAGTTTTTTCATCTCACCCTGTATGGTGGTATTGTTGAAGCAGGCAGAGAGTGGAGTCTTACAGAACGCATGGCAGTGGACGAAGATTTAATATATAATTTGAAGGATTTCTTCATAACATGTAAATATCACATTCCGTGGCCTTATGACAAGCCCATATACCAGGGCAAAATGGGAAATTATTTTTTTTATCGAATTGTAATTACAATAAACGCATGTTTTAAATAGTAATACACGCTCATTCGTTAAAGCGTCGTTCGTACGTCTTTTATGACATCTTAGATTACCTTTCATACGCTTTTATCTATTTTGTCTGTGTAAAAATGTATTTTTCTCCACAAGGCGTAACAAAACACTGGGTAATTTTCGGATTATATTTTATCTCCTTGCACTTTCTGGAAGTTATGTAACCAGAAGATACAAATTGGAAATGTGGCCAAAAATATCGAAATAGTTAAATTTTCGTGGACCTTGATGTTTAAAATGCTTATTTACAGAAGATGATGACTATTTAGTCATCTATATATTAATTAAAGTCTAGGTATTTATGAATGACAAACATTTTATACAAGATGGGGCAAAAGTAAACTTCCGACGTTTTTTAGCTTTAATTAAAAAAAAAATGAAAAACGTTGGTTCTTTTAGTGGATTATTTTTATTTGTTCTTTTAGTTTTTATACATCAAGTCGAGAATATGATGTCATGTAAATGGCCATCGCCACATTTAATTGTCCTTTTTATTGCATTTTCCATTGGCCAAAACTTCCGGCGATAGGTTCTCACATTCTTCACGGATATTGTTTTTAAGAGCTGAAAGAGTCTGAGGCTTGTTGACATAAACCCGCAACTTCAAAAAGCCCCACAAAAATCGATCTTTCTTGACAGTACAAATCGCCAAAACGGGAGATTAGGCATCCGGGCAAAGCATCCTTCAGCATATCGATTGTGGAAAGTGTGCCATTGCACCGTCTTGTTGGAACCACCTGTTTTCCAATCCCAACTCATAGAGTTCCGGCAAAAAGAAGTCGTTGATTATTTTTGATGAAAATCATCTTCTTCTTGGTGGTGATTAAGGATGGCTTGAGCGTATGTTAGAGGTCACCAGCTAACAGCTAATGCACCACCTGGACTTTGTACGGAAATATCTTAAAATCTTGTATCAAAATTCGCTGTAAAAACCGTCGACTGATACCCATTTGCGAGGAACGTCGTCGTCGATGGCGCTTCCATGACATCCTCGGCTACAGCAGCAATATTCTCTGCAGAACGGATACTCCGGAGTCTCGTTTGATTTTTTATTTTAACATAATTAAATTTTGGCTAGTAGTCGATAACATAACCATTATTTTTGATAGCAGCTGCACACCTACAAGACATTGAATCTATAACACGCTCAATTTGATCCTTGGATATGCTTTTCCAGGCACCCTGAATTCTATGGAAAATTATGTGTTCTGTTGTGATCTTCCTGTCTACGATACTCCAAAGATTTTCTATGGGATTTAGGTCAAGTGATTGTGCCGACCATAACAAAACAACGATTTTTGACTCCCGTAACCAATCTTTGACAAGTTTTGATGCATGTTTGGGATCATTGTCATGTTGAAACACACAAATAAGCCGAATATTTTAATCAGCGAAAGAGAACAACGTGATGTCCAACACGTGTTTTTAAACGAACCGATCCATAACTTCCTTTATTTCATGGATAGGCCCAAGTCCATAGAAAGAAAAACAGCGCCACACCATTTTTGACCGTCCCTCATGCTTCACTGTACCCTTGTAACATTTTTCATGTCTGAGCTTTTAAATTAAACGTAGACTCATCCCAGAATAAAATGTTTTTCCATTGAGCTGGGTTCCAATTATTTTTATCGTTTCCGAAAGCCAGCCTGGTTTTCCGATTTGTACAGATATAAATGACTTTTTTGATGGCTTACGGGCATGCAGACCAGTTGCCACTACTCGTCTATGCACTGATCTCGAGCTTATATCCAATGATAGCTCTCTCGCCAATTCAGTTAAATTCTTAAATGGTTGCTTTTTTTATTTGTTGATCAGTACGGGCTGAAGTTTTTCACGGCCTCCATCCGTTATAGACTGTTACTACTTATCCAGTTTCATAAAACCGACTTAGTATACGAGAAATCACAGAAATATTTATGAAATATTTCTCGGAAATCATTTTCTGCTATAGCTTGTTTTTATAGTAACAAATAATTTGCTGTTTTATTCATGTGCTGTATTTGCTTCTAGCCATTTTTAAACTTTTTAAAAAACTTCTCAAAAATGATTTATAAAAATCGAAATTGTTGAAGAAAGCAAAAAGCGATAAATATAAAGGAAAAAAACTGAAATTGCAGCGATCATATGAAAGTTAACAAAGTTTTTTAAAAAAGTTACAGGGCATTCTTTCTCCTTATAATTTCAGTTGTTTTAGTTTTGGCCACCAGTGTACCTTTGTCCGATTTTTATTTTTGTCCTCCGCAGCCGTAATATGCACACTGTAACAACGATATTCGGGGAAATATATCACATACAGCTCAGAAACACCTTTGTAGAAATCGATTCAAAGGAGGATATTCCTCTTATATATTAGTTCCTCTGGACTTTGAATTATAACATAATCATAGTTGGTATGATTTAATTCTGACAAATTCCCCATAAAAACTTTTATTTGTTATGTGAAGACTCCAAATGCGGATTTGTAAGCGCCTGTGGTCGTAGCTGCCAGAGGAGCATCAAGTAAAATCCCATAGATGTTTAGTAATTTCCCAAACACTGAGAGATAAAGACCTTTCGTTAAAATGCTTTTGTTTTAGTTTTCGATGCAGTACAAAAATATAAAGAATAAATATAGGGCTGTTTCGCAGAATAGGCCCGGTGATCATTTCAATATGAGATTTATAATTTTTAAGCTTTTTCATATGCATTTGTAGCTCCTATTTAAGTATAAGGTTACTTCTTTCATTAAACGTGTGGCAAGGCTTTAGCTACCTAACAACAAATAGAATGTTATTTGTCAATAATTGAAAAATTTTTAATTTTGTAACTACAACTGTTGGTTTCCTTATTTCAGTAAAGAGTAAATCTCTCTTTTTTGTTCTTTCCATAAAAAAGCAACTCTCTCTGCTCTCTTCAAAAAAATGATTTGGGCTTTGAAAACAACGGTATCCCTTCATATGCGTTGTTACCCAAGTTCAATATTTGTTGATATTTTGTATGTTATATTTTATATTCTTTTTCGTAATTATTTCTCTTCGCGCCATAAAACACTTCGTTAAAAAAGTTGTAGACATTTTTTACAGTTTCGTACAACAACAATGCCATTTTCAAAATGTTAGACTCTTAACAACTCCACCGAGATTATTTTGTACTCTGTTGCTGCTGTTCGAACCCAACGAACGATAAACCAACCAACCACCAGTCATACTGTGTTGTCTTGTCAAGTCTTCAATGTCCAATTTTATCATTTGTTTTGCCTAAAATCAAACCAAAGAAATTTGCTGTAATAATGTTATAAGATAGAGTGAAAAACGAAATATTTTAATAATTTATTAACCAGAACGATTTAGAAAATCGTTTTTCAATACCTTTATTGTGTGTTTGTAAATGCTCTTGGCATTTTGTGTGCGTGTGTGTTTGCTTTGAAATAGCAAATTTTTGACGGATATATAGATTGATTTCTGATTAAAGATCCGACATATTGTGACCAGATCACAATCACCATAGAAATTAACCAGCAGCATCAACAGGTTTGGCAGACGACATACACAGATTTCCTGGAGAAATTAAAAAAAGGATTCACGCTTTTTTGTTTTTGCATTCTCCTTAAATGTGAGTACATTTCGTAATAAATGCGCATTTTTAACAAAGCGCCAATTACTATTGGAATACATATTTACCGTTTGTCTATTGGAAATGAATGCCATAACCTACGTATTAAAAATTACAACAACAGATGTGAGGTTATGTTTTGTAATTTTAGAATTAGAATTATAGTCAAACCACAAAATGTTGACACTGATGAAGATTTGTATTTTAATGGTGGGAAATTGCCATGACTTCATTAAATGCCAATATTTACAATGCGTGTATAGTTTTGCAGAATTGAATAGTTTCTAATATATTGTAATGGCATAGCTTATCTATAACAATGCTGTGATCAAGAGTTTTATGTCTTCGTACATAGATTTGTTGATAATCGATGGAGCATGAGATGGACGATTCAGGCTATAGGAGAAAATGGGTTTTTAATCTGAAATTCTTTGTATACTATTTCTGCTAAATTGTCGCATTTCTTCTTTTGTCACAGATTCTCTCGTATAAAAGTAGTAATAATTGATTGTTTAGTGATGAATTCTCGATGAACTTAAAAAATAATGGTTTCACAGAATAATCTACAAAATGGTAGTGTGAGAGTTCCACATCAATAGATCGTCGAAAAGCCATTAGAAAATGCCCCACATTCCTACCTATATTCCTTGCAACACCTCATTACCTTCCTTGTTATATAACAGCTGTGTGTTTCCCAACTCTAGTACAGCTCACATAGAAGTGTTGTTGCTTTATCCGTTTTAGATACGCGCGATAGTTTACTCATATTCTGTGCAACATATCGTTTGAACCTCCATACCCTATACCTACCGTCCATCCTACCTATTTCGGTGGCTTGCTCCAAAGGCGAAAAGCTAATTTATTCTTACTAAGTACTCCACATGTAGTACATGAATGCCCAGTCGTAAGTTTTAATAACTATAAGGAACGGTTTATGTATGTTTATACAAAAGTGAATGAGTTTTTCAAATTATAGGCTTCTTTATAGTTTAATAAAAATTAAAAAACGCACACACACTTTTTTAATGGTGTTTTTCTTTGCATTCTCTTTCGTATCGATATTCGAAAACATGCCCCAAAACTCTGTAAATCTATAATTTCTTAAAAAACCTTATAAAGTAATTTCATTTACACTATTCATTGGGAATTATTGATTTAAACAAGTAAGCAAAGGCTATAGTCGTGCGGGCCGACCATGTGATACCCTACAACACTACAGTATATTGAGAGACATCTTATGTTCAAATCCATTTTGGAGGATTTCGTTTTTGAAATAATGTCATAGAGCCCTGTCCAAATGTTACCCTAAGGTTTTTGACTGGGGGCATTTGCTCAATATTTAAGTGTAGCGTTGTTAGGTATTCAAGATAATTTTTTTACGAAAATTGTGATATAATCCAACGGTCATCCAAAATGCTAAACTTTCCTGCCTTAATTCTCTTTTCAAGCAAAATTAGTTTTCAATTGTGACCTTTAGAGCGACTGCAAAGTCAGGAAAATTTAATTTTATTTTGTCCATTTGAGCCCCTAAATGTACATCTTCAAAAACAATAGGCTTTAATGCTGACCTTAACCATATCCCCTTTCGTGGGGATCGGACGATAATTGCGAACTGTATATAATACCCTCAACACAGTGTTGTGTGTGTAAAAAAAATACAAAATATACAATTCAAAATTGTAAGTCTTTTTAAAAAAATCGCATGCAATGAAAAATATGACAAAAATTATTGACTTATATGCAGAATAACTAAGATCTATTTCTTTTATATATATATTGAACCTATTTTTTGCTATATATCCGATATCTTGGCTATCAGCATCACTGTAATGGTCAGAAGTGACCTCTTAATGCATTTGTGATTTGGCCGGACTAAAAATATTCGCGGTCTAGGGGAAATTTTCGTAATTTTTGACATAAAAAGGCCCAGCCCTAAATTCTAACTCCATGCAAAATTCCGCGTCGATTGGTCTATAATTGTGGCCTGTGGAGCAACAGCAAAATCAGGATTTTTTTCTGTTTTTGGTCCATTTTAACACCTAAATATTTTGCGATCATCTCCAGAAACAATAGACTTCTATTCTGACCCAAACCAAACGCACATTTTCAATTTTGTGAGGGTCGGGCCATAATTGCGACCTGTAGCGTGATTACAAATTAACATGGACAGACGGACATACATTACTAGATCGACTCAGCTCGGCGAGATAGGAAGATCCATATATAGTTTCCTATGTCGGAGATCAATATTTCGAGGTGTTACATAATTTTTGGCCCCATCAAACTTACAATACCCCCACACATAGTGTTGTAGGGTATAAAAATACTTTTTTCCCCAAAAATTTGTATGGATCTAGTCAAATGTAAATATATTAGTCTTAAATTTAAGGTAAAGAAATATATCTATGTCTATGAGTACCAAGTTATAAGTTAAGTTATATTTTATTGAGTCTTTTTTTATCAATAAGATTACAATTAAAAACAATATAAAGGAATCCTTAAGACTATAATGTATTATCCTAATGTCAAGAAAAGTTATACAGCATCATGCTTCATTTAATAAAAAGGCAATAAAATGTGAACATCTGGTGTGTTAATGGACGCCCTTGCTCCCGGGACTTTTACATAAAAGAGAAAATCTTAAATCTAGGGTTTAAAACTTAAAACTAAAACTTACATCTAAAAATAAAAACATATGAAAAAGAACAAAAAAAAAAAAAAAACAAAACAATAAAATAACAACAATAATAATAAAAAAAAATAATAAAAAGGTACGCAATAGCTACCCACGATGAGTCCCGGCGAGCGCCTTTTCATAAAAGCAGGTAATGCCTGCCTGATCCTCATTTGAAAACCCCAAAGGAGAGAGATATTGTGTGTTTGACAACCCAAAGTTTCTATGTGCGTGAAAATAAATTTAAATTTAAATTCTACTACTTTGATTTTTCGCTTACCAACACTGGTTTTCTCTCAGAGATAAATTTAAATTTAACTACATTTTCGTGAGAGTAAATTTAAATTTAACTCAAAAGTGCTTGTTGTGAAAGAAAATAAAAGTTAAAATTATGAAAATAATATAACAATAAAATGTTATATGAATTGTATTAAAAATTAATAATTATAAGAACTTTGGCCAGAACAAGAAAAGTGGCCAGACTTATATTTCCTATGGTCACTGTAGGATAAATGGGTTTGGACCCATTGTGGGAAAATGGTTAGGGATGCACCTTTATGGTGTTCATTTTCGGAAAGAGCATCGAAAATGCTCCTAGACCAATGATTCTCATAATCCAAACCCATCTGGAATTCCCACAGTGGCCAGATTTATATTTCATATGGTCACTGTAGGAGAAATGGGTTTGGACCCACTGTGGGAAAATGGTTAGGGATGCGCCTTTATGGTTTTCATTTTCGGAAAGAGCATCGAAAATGCTCCTAGACCACTTATTCTCATAATTCAAACCCATCTGGAATTCCCACAGTGGCCAGATTTATATTTCATATGGTCATTGTAGGAGAAATGGGTTTGGACCCACTGTGGGAAAATGGTTAGGGATGCACCTTTATGGTGTCCATTTTCGGAAAGAGCATCGAAAATGCTCCTAGACCACTTATTCTCATAATCCAAACCCATCTGGAATTCCCACAGTGGCCAGATTTATATTTCATATGGTCACTGTAGGAGAAATGGGTTTGGACCCACTGTGGGACAATGGTTAGGGATGCGCCTTTATGGTGTCCATTTACGGAAAGAGCATCGAAAATGCTCCTAGACCAATGATTCTCATAATCCAAACCCATCTGGAAATCCCACAGTGGCCAGACTTATATTTCATATGGTCACTGTAGGAGAAATGGGTTTGGACCCACTGTGGGAAAATTGGTTAGGGATGCACCCTTATGGTGTTCATTTTCGGAAAGAGCATCGAAAATGCTCCTAGACCACTTATTCTCATAATCCAAACCCATCTGGAATTCCCACAGTGGCCAGATTTATATTTCATATGGTCACTGTAGGAGAAATGGGCTTGGACCCACTGTGGGAAAATGGTTAGGGATGCGCCTTTATGGTGTCCATTTTCGGAAAGAGCATCGAAAATGCTCCTAGACCACTTATTCTCATAATTCAAACCCATCTGGAATTCCCACAGTGGCCAGATTTATATTTCATATGGTCACTGTAGGAGAAATGGGTTTGGACCCACTGTGGGAAAATGGTTAGGGATGCGCCTTTATGGTGTCCATTTTCGGAAAGAGCATCGAAAATGCTCCTAGACCACTTATTCTCATAATTCAAACCCATCTGGAATTCCCACAGTGGCCAGATTTATATTTCATATGGTCACTGTAGGAGAAATGGGTTTGGACCCACTGTGGGAAAATGGTTAGGGATGCGCCTTTATGGTTTTCATTTTCGGAAAGAGCATCGAAAATGCTCCTAGACCACTTATTCTCATAATCCAAACCCATCTGGAATTCCCACAGTGGCCAGATTTATATTTTATGTCCTCTTTGGAGAAATTGGTTTGGACCCACTGTGGGAAAATGGTGAGGGATGCGCCTTTATGGTGTCCATTTGCGGAAAGAGCATCGAAAATGCTCCTAGACCACTTATTCTCATAATCCAAACCCATCTGGAATTCCCACAGTGGCCAGATTTATATTTCATATGGTCACTGTAGGAGAAATGGGTTTGGACCCACTGTGGGAAAATGGTTAGGGATGCGCCTTTATGGTGTTCATTTTCGGAAAGAGCATCGAAAATGCTCCTAGACCAATGATTCTCATAATCCAAACCCATCTGGAATTCCCACAGTGGTGAGATTTATATTTCATGTGGTCCTCTTTGGAGAAATTGGTTTGGACCCACTGTGGGAAAATGGTTAGGGATGCACCTTTATGGTGTTCATTTTTTGTTCCATGGTTGTTACCAATGCTCCCAGCTTTACTAAAAACAGCTTTACCAAAAATTCGACTTGGTGCACACAACTGTCGTCTGTAATACCCTAATTATCTAGGTACATCTACCATCTAATAACGTTGTAAAAATCAGAAATATATTTTTAAAAATAAACCACATTAAATTTGTATTATTCATTTCCATTTCCAACACACATAAAAGGAAAGTGTTATATTGTTAATGTTGAAATCTACTGCTTTGAAATTTTATACGCTATATGTATTTCGGTTAAGTTTATATAATTACATATGTTAAAATTGTGCGGTGAATAAGGGCAACAAATTACAATTTGTTAAAATGTTACTAATATTCTTCGTTATTACTATGGCAGATGCATCAACGCTTGGGAGCATTGATATGTCAAAAAAAATTAAATATTTTTTCAAATATAAGAAAATTTTTATATGTTTTCTTGTATGACGTCATTCGGAGGTTATTATAATTCGCATTTTTAAACAATTTTTACAAATTTAAATAATTTTTCATTCAACATTTTCAATTCCAAAATTGGGTTGACAGTTCATTGTCCCAGGGGCTGTGTCGATGCGTCCACCTATATTATTCTACCATGGTTGTTACCATACGTTACCACACGCAGCATTAGTAACTAAAAATTGCAACCCTGCTACATTTTTACCATCCAACAAATTGACAACATTGTGGCGGCAAAAAAGCAATAATTGTGATTGAATTGTGCTCAGTTGGCGGGGAAATAAACAACAAACGAACATCGATTTTCAGACTAAAATTTTATAATATTTTGCTTTTCTTGCTGTCAATTTATGAAAATCGAAGAAATTAAAGTGTTGTCCGAGAAGCTGCTGTTCTAGTTGCGAATTTGTCAAAAAACAAGAAAATGCTGGTCTTGTCTCACAGCTGAGGTACCATCCGGTACGGGCAAAGCTGCAATTGCTCCAGTTATTGCACAGGAATTAGGCAATAAGGTTAAGGTAACATTCTGCACATGATGAGTTCGGAGATGTTCCGCAGTGACACCTTTGCAACGGAATTGGATTTGGAGACCGAGGGTTGGTTGTGTTATACGGTAAGAAAAATAATATACTTTTTCGATTTTCCTTTGTTAACATTTCGATTTCTTTGTTCACAGTGACACCACAGACACTGCCTCACCTCATGGCATTCCCTTGGATTTACCTGATCTATGGCTCATCATAGGCATCTTGCCATAGCATTCCAGTGAAATATGGAACAACTCATAATGTTAAATGGAGAACCTGCAATTTGAAGAGTCTGCCTTTAAACGTCTCAATGACGTTGACTGTCCAGTTGCATATTGATGATATTCATGCCTTATTCTTGGGTGCAAGACGTTCATCGAATCGTCTATACGAGAAGAATACAAAATTTATGAAATTAATTGACTCTCAACCGACTGAGCTGATTATACATTTCGGTATCTCAATGTATATAAAATTTAAAATAAAGTGGCAGAAGAAACACGAAAATTGAAGTGTAATTTACTTCCCAGCAAAAATGTTTCGAATTCGAATTGACTTCAATTTGGCAATTGGGCTTTTAAAAGAATAAAAGGTCCACTAAGAATTTTTCTCAGTCGAAATGGCTGTAATTTAATATTTTGAAATCGTAATTGTGGACTTTTTGAAGAAAATTTATTGTCAATACTTCCCACGTTTTTTTTTTTCGAAATAGAGATATTTGTTACTTATTTTAAATGGGCTTTGGCAGCCAAAAAAGAGGGCAGTTGGTCTTATTGAGTCACCTTGAAAATACGTCTTGATCGAGCCTTTAGTCATAAGGAAAAATGCACTAATAATGGCAGGCAAACTATTGTTTTTTTATTGCTAAAATATGTGGGTAAGTAAGGAATGTGACAGGTATGAAATATAGCAAATAATGTCAGTGTGAGTCAATTCCATAGATTTCATCATACATTTTGTATTCTTCTCGTATAGACGATTCGATGAACGTCTTGCACCCAAGAATAAGGCATGAATATCATCAATATGCAACTGGACAGTCAACGTCATTGAGACGTTTAAAGGCAGACTCTTCAAATTGCAGGTTCTCCATTTAACATTATGAGTTGTTCCATATTTCACTGGAATGCTATGGCAAGATGCCTATGATGAGCCATAGATCAGGTAAATCCAAGGGAATGCCATGAGGTGAGGCAGTGTCTGTGGTGTCACTGTGAACAAAGAAATCGAAATGTTAACAAAGGAAAATCGAAAAAGTATATTATTTTTCTTACCGTATAACACAACCAACCCTCGGTCTCCAAATCCAATTCCGTTGCAAAGGTGTCACTGCGGAACATCTCCGAACTCATCATGTGCAGAATGTTACCTTAACCTTATTGCCTAATTCCTGTGCAATAACTGGAGCAATTGCAGCTTTGCCCGTACCGGATGGTACCTCAGCTGTGAGACAAGACCAGCATTTTCTTGTTTTTTGACAAATTCGCAACTAGAACAGCAGCTTCTCGGACAACACTTTAATTTCTTCGATTTTCATAAATTGACAGCAAGAAAAGCAAAATATTATAAAATTTTAGTCTGAAAATCGATGTTCGTTTGTTGTTTATTTCCCCGCCAACTGAGCACAATTCAATCACAATTATTGCTTTTTTGCCGCCACAATGTTGTCAATTTGTTGGATGGTAAAAATGTAGCAGGGTTGCAATTTTTAGTTACTAATGCTGCGTGTGGTAACGTATGGTAACAACCATGGTAGAATAATATAGGTGGACGCATCGACACAGCCCCTGGGACAATGAACTGTCAACCCAATTTTGGAATTGAAAATGTTGAATGAAAAATTATTTAAATTTGTAAAAATTGTTTAAAAATGCGAATTATAATAACCTCCGAATGACGTCATACAAGAAAACATATAAAAATTTTCTTATATTTGAAAAAATATTTAATTTTTTTTGACATATCAATGCTCCCAAGTGTTGATGCATCTGCCATAGTAATAACGAAGAATATTAGTAACATTTTAACAAATTGTAATTTGTTGCCCTTATTCACCGCACAATTTTAACATATGTAATTATATAAACTTAACCGAAATACATATAGCGTATAAAATTTCAAAGCAGTAGATTTCAACATTAACAATATAACACTTTCCTTTTATGTGTGTTGGAAATGGAAATGAATAATACAAATTTAATGTGGTTTATTTTTAAAAATATATTTCTGATTTTTACAACGTTATTAGATGGTAGATGTACCTAGATAATTAGGGTATTACAGACGACAGTTGTGTGCACCAAGTCGAATTTTTGGTAAAGCTGTTAATTAAAAAATGTAACAGTAATGCCTTAGCCATTACATAAGAGCTTCGTTCCCTTACCATTTAGTTGCAAAAATAGCAGAAGAGCAAACTTTAGAAAAAAAAATATTTTATGGTCTTGCAGAGAAAATAGTTAAAAGAAGATGATAACAGAAAAATAGAAACACTATAAAATCAAACACTCTGTCACCAAAAACGTCAAAAAAAAAAAATTAAAATGAACAAAGGATTCTATTGCAGATTTTTTGTTGAACATCAATAAAAAATTGGAGCTTACTTAAAAATATAAGAACAATACAATGGTGGCTACATTAAATTTAAGTCGGCCTTCTGTGAGATTTTCGGATAGGTTTGGTTTTTCAAAAGAAGTTGTCTGGGAGCATTGGTAACAACCATGGAACAAAAAATGAACACCATAAAGGTGCATCCCTAACCATTTTCCCACAGTGGTGGTTTGGACCCAAAGAGGACCACATGAAATATAAATCTCGCCACTGTGGGAATTCCAGATGGGTTTGGATTATGAGAATCATTGGTCTAGGAGCATTTTCGATGCTCTTTCCGAAAATGAACACCATAAAGGCGCATCCCTAACCATTTTCCCACAGTGGGTCCAAACCCATTTCTCCTACAGTGACCATATGAAATATAAATCTGGCCACTGTGGGAATTCCAGATGGGTTTGGATTATGAGAATAAGTGGTCTAGGAGCATTTTCGATGCTCTTTCCGAAAATGGACACCATAAAGGCGCATCCCTAACCATTTTCCCACAGTGGGTCCAAACCCATTTCTCCTACAGTGACCATATGAAATATAAATCTGGCCACTGTGGGAATTCCAGATGGGTTTGGATTATGAGAATAAGTGGTCTAGGAGCATTTTCGATGCTCTTTCCGAAAATGGACACCATAAGGGTGCATCCCTAACCAATTTTCCCACAGTGGGTCCAAACCCATTTCTCCTACAGTGACCATATGAAATATAAGTCTGGCCACTGTGGGATTTCCAGATGGGTTTGGATTATGAGAATCATTGGTCTAGGAGCATTTTCGATGCTCTTTCCGTAAATGGACACCATAAAGGCGCATCCCTAACCATTGTCCCACAGTGGGTCCAAACCCATTTCTCCTACAGTGACCATATGAAATATAAATCTGGCCACTGTGGGAATTCCAGATGGGTTTGGATTATGAGAATAAGTGGTCTAGGAGCATTTTCGATGCTCTTTCCGAAAATGGACACCATAAAGGTGCATCCCTAACCATTTTCCCACAGTGGGTCCAAACCAATTTCTCCAAAGAGGACCACATGAAATATAAATCTGGCCACTGTGGGAATTCCAGATGGGTTTGGATTATGAGAATAAGTGGTCTAGGAGCATTTTCGATGCTCTTTCCGAAAATGGACACCATAAAGGCGCATCCCTAACCATTTTCCCACAGTGGGTCCAAACCCATTTCTCCTACAGTGACCATATGAAATATAAATCTGGCCACTGTGGGAATTCCAGATGGGTTTGGATTATGAGAATAAGTGGTCTAGGAGCATTTTCGATGCTCTTTCCGAAAATGGACACCATAAAGGCGCATCCCTAACCATTTTCCCACAATGGGTCCAAACCCATTTCTCCTACAGTGACCATATGAAATATAAATCTGGCCACTGTGGGAATTCCAGATGGGTTTGAATTATGAGAATAAGTGGTCTAGGAGCATTTTCGATGCTCTTTCCGAAAATGAAAACCATAAAGGCGCATCCCTAACCATTTTCCCACAGTGGGTCCAAACCCATTTCTCCTACAGTGACCATATGAAATATAAATCTGGCCACTGTGGGAATTCCAGATGGGTTTGGATTATGAGAATCATTGGTCTAGGAGCATTTTCGATGCTCTTTCCGTAAATGGACACCATAAAGGCGCATCCCTAACCATTGTCCCACAGTGGGTCCAAACCCATTTCTCCTACAGTGACCATATGAAATATAAATCTGGCCACTGTGGGAATTCCAGATGGGTTTGGATTATGAGAATAAGTGGTCTAGGAGCATTTTCGATGCTCTTTCCGAAAATGGACACCATAAAGGTGCATCCCTAACCATTTTCCCACAGTGAGTCCAAACCAATTTCTCCAAAGAGGACCACATGAAATATAAATCTGGCCACTGTGGGAATTCCAGATGGGTTTGGATTATGAGAATAAGTGGTCTAGGAGCATTTTCGATGCTCTTTCCGAAAATGGACACCATAAAGGCGCATCCCTAACCATTTTCCCACAGTGGGTCCAAACCCATTTCTCCTACAGTGACCATATGAAATATAAATCTGGCCACTGTGGGAATTCCAGATGGGTTTGGATTATGAGAATAAGTGGTCTAGGAGCATTTTCGATGCTCTTTCCGAAAATGGACACCATAAAGGCGCATCCCTAACCATTTTCCCACAATGGGTCCAAACCCATTTCTCCTACAGTGACCATATGAAATATAAATCTGGCCACTGTGGGAATTCCAGATGGGTTTGAATTATGAGAATAAGTGGTCTAGGAGCATTTTCGATGCTCTTTCCGAAAATGAAAACCATAAAGGCGCATCCCTAACCATTTTCCCACAGTGGGTCCAAACCCATTTCTCCTACAGTGACCATATGAAATATAAATCTGGCCACTGTGGGAATTCCAGATGGGTTTGGATTATGAGAATAAGTGGTCTAGGAGCATTTTCGATGCTCTTTCCGAAAATGGACACCATAAAGGCGCATCCCTCACCATTTTCCCACAGTGGGTCCAAACCAATTTCTCCAAAGAGGACATAAAATATAAATCTGGCCACTGTGGGAATTCCAGATGGGTTTGGATTATGAGAATAAGTGGTCTAGGAGCATTTTCGATGCTCTTTCCGAAAATGAAAACCATAAAGGCGCATCCCTAACCATTTTCCCACAATGGGTCCAAACCCATTTCTCCTACAGTGACCATATGAAATATAAATCTGGCCACTGTGGGAATTCCAGATGGGTTTGAATTATGAGAATAAGTGGTCTAGGAGCATTTTCGATGCTCTTTCCGAAAATGGACACCATAAGGGTGCATCCCTAACCATTTTTCCACAGTGGGTCCAAACCAATTCCTCCTACAGTGACCATATGAAATATAAGTCTGGCCACAGTGGGAATTCCAGATGGGTTTGAATTATGAGAATCATTGGTCTAGGAGCATTTTCGATGCTCTTTCCGAAAATGAACACCATAAAGGTGCATCCCTAACCATTTTCCCACAGTGGGTCCAAACCCATTTATCCTACAGTGACCATAGGAAATATAAGTCTGGCCACTTTTCTTGTTTTGGCCAAAGTTCTTATAATTATTAATTTTTAATACAATTCATATAACATTTTATTGTTATATTATTTTCATAATTTTAACTTTTATTTTCTTTCACAACAAGCACTTTTGAGTTAAATTTAAATTTACTCTCACGAAAATGTAGTTAAATTTAAATTTATCTCTGAGAGAAAACCAGTGTTGGTAAGCGAAAAATCAAAGTAGTAGAATTTAAATTTAAATTTATTTTCACGCACATAAAGTTTCTCTGACTATTAATTGCCTCTATCATATGAGCATTTTCATGAAATTCCAATCTTAAATTAAACTTATCCAAAATATCAAAAGCGTAGTTGGAAAAACGCTTTAACTTTGATTTGGAATAAATATAGTTATTTGAATATCTAATTATATCTAATTTAATCTAAGATAAAAAAATATATCTATGTTTATGAGTACCAAAATTTTTTATCGAACAAAATATTTTATTTGTCTTTTATAGAAATCTGTAATACCAAATTTCTGAATATCAAACACCTGGAGGGGTCGTTGTTTGGATTTATATGAAAAAAAAGTGGACCTGTATAGATTGGAAACACAAGCTTTCGGTTTTCGTTAAATTGGGTTGAAACAAGTAAAATAGTATCAGTCGGTTTTGCCGACAGATGTATACCCCCAGCGTTGAGTTATGATTATTCAAACTGTTAAGCCTTTATGGGGGAGGTTTCGAATATACTTTATTTATTTATGAGATATGTGCAAATTTTGGGAAAATGTGGAAATAAGCCTGAGGTAACGGATATACCGGATCAAAGTATTCCATTTTCATACTTCATCTAAGACAGATCAAAATATTGGTATGCGCAGAATCGAACATTTATATCAACTTTTTTGCGAAATCAAAAAATCCGATAAATTACGTATTCATATCAGATTTCTAGTTAAGAGAAATATTTAGATATCGAAAGTTGTAAAGAATCACCAACTTGTTTCGCAAGTTATGACAGATATAAGTATTGGAAATTGTGACCCTTTGTGGGTGGGGAACCAGAAGGGGTATATATCATCATATATGAGGTGCCAGAACTGGTATATACCAGATAAATATCATCTTCACAACAGATCTTGGATTAGCAAAAATATTTTGATGTGTGAAATTTCAAGAGAGTTAGATGCTATTTTTACCTTCTTTGAGAGATTTGTTTTTCAAAGCTTAAACCCTAATCTCGTGTTTTATGAGTTTCATGGATATTCAAAATTTTGACCCTTTGTGGGGGAGGTACCAGAAGGAGTGGACCGATATGTTCCACACCAGACCTTGGGTTAATAAAAATATTGTATGTGTAATTTGAAGACAATCGGACTCTTACATCACATTTTATAAAAGTTATAATTATTCAAAATGTTGATCCTTTGTGGGGGAGGTACTTGATGGAGTGGAGTGTAGAGTGGCTCGATAGAAAAGAAACCAAACTAGATTTTTTTGAAATTTCTTATTAATCTTACAACCGCATTTATAGATAAACCTTAATTTTGTTCTGAGACGGATTTGGTCCAAAGAGACCTATCCTATGACAAAAACTCTTTTATAACACCCGACGATCGCAAGCTCGATAGAAGAGAAACCAAACTAGATTTTTTGGTATTCCTTATAAATTTTACAACCGCACTTATAGATAAACCTTGATTCTATAAAAACAGAAATATTGGAATTAAGCCTATTAAACTTAACAACGGTATCTAAAAAAATGCCCAAGATAAACGAACTCTACTCATTTTACATTTACCTAATATAGAAGTTATTTGAAATTTTAAATTAAAAAAAAGGTATAATGAATATAAAACATGTGTTTAAAAAAAAGTTGATTTGATTATATCTACTGGGCAAATGTGGTATATTGAACTTTTAAGACATATCGCTTCGATCATCGCATACAAGCGTCATTTTTGATTTTTTGCTCTAAATAAATACATACATTATACAATATTATTCTCATATCAGAAAATATTGAATAAAGATATACAAACATTAAGCGTTTATTTTCGATTTGTATGAACGTATTTATTTTATTTTTACGTACATAGGAATTTGTCTGGCATGGGAAATGTACTTGGTCTAATTCGGATTATGTACTACCCATACACAGAGTAGCACATATACGAACCTTCTATTAAATCCACACCATTCAACTTGAAATAAATAAATAACAAACAAAAAGTAAATAAATAATTTATTTAAAAAAAATATTTGCTCTACATTAACATGAAAGGCAACAACACGCAAAAACAAATTCTCAGCCAACACAATTTAAGGTGATAGAAACAAACAACAGAACAGCCTGAGTGAACGGCGGAAAAAAGGTAATAGATAGGCAATGATGCGCTACTGTTTGCCGCTGATGTTCTGATGGCAATCGAAATGTTAAAACAAAAACCCACAACACACATGCAGGCAATAGAAGGGGTCAGTGTATGTTTTTGTCAGATATTGTCCCACAATTATAAATTTGTACATGCATGTGTCAACAAGGTGGCCATATTAAATCGATAATAAAATGTCCGTTCATGGAGGCGTATTTAAACACAGTGCAACTTTATATTGGTGTCCTATATAGGCTCAAATGTAAACATAAAAACATTTCATTTAAAGCTCATCCACGTCAATGTTACTCCTGTGTCTCTGTTTTCTGTGTCAGCATCATCGTCATTACATGACTATTGTTGCTGTAATGTATCATCGTGGGCAGTTCACAAACTAAAGTGAAAAAAAAGAACGAAACAAAAAATGACAAATAGCTTTTAATTGTGTTTTTAGTTGTTCTGTTTTTGTCAATACTTTCAATGCCATCATATACAATACAATACAAAATCTTCTCACTAAAGTTTTTTTTACAGGGTTGGAACTAAAGGGTAACAGTACATAATAGCACTACTCCCGAATGAAGAAGACCCCCTTTGACTTGTAGGAAAGACATAATTTAACAGTTACCTTTTAGCTACGTTCTTAGCTCAAGTAAAAGGGTTTCAATTTCAAGCAGAATTTTTCTATTGATACATATATTTGTTATTATTTATTTTTGTACTCGGGCTGAACGGAAATTTACTCATAGCAAATTCGTAGCGAAAATAAACATATCTTTTTGTTGGGTAAGCCCATGTCACTCACTTGATTCGGTGGCAAACAAAACCAAAAGTAATGAATTTCGAATACAATTCATTTATTTATTTTGGCACGCCAGACATCATTGTTATATGTACTTGGACAAATTGTAGATCATATGATGAACGACATACTAACGTCAACATCATCTTCAGATGATAGATTTTCATTCCATCATATTTGTTATTGCTATTTTTTTTTGACAATTAGCATGTACTAATAAAATCAATATATGTATATCTGATTTGACATATCCAAGTAAAAATTCAGAGGGACAAAAAAAAACAGCGTAATTTCCGTCAGACCAAATTTATTATACGCTTCGCTAGGAGAATAATTATGCTTTTCATTACTATGTAAATGAAAAATGATATTATTGATAACTGCCTCTTGGGGTAATCATGGTCCTATTAATCAATTAAACAATTTTAAAGAGTATTATATGTAATTCCTTTTAAAATTGTTAGTCATATTTTATGCGCACCTTTAAAACCCTCGACCATATTGTGGATACATTATCAGCTGTGGATACATATCACCAATTCCGTTTGTATCTCCTCGAAAGAATCACGTAAGATTCTATAAAGTATTCAAATTCTTGAACAGCATAAAATACTAAATCGACTTAGCGATGTCCGACTTTCTGTCTGTTGTAATCCCACTATTTTTTGAATTTTGCACATATGTGTATTTGCCAGTAGTAATTTTCGTACCTCACTATTTTCGGTACTTAAGCGATTTAATGGTTTAAAATCCCGTATTTAAATTTCGAAATAGGTTATCCCTTCTTTGATCCCCATACAATTTTGGTTTTTGATGTGCGCAACGATACCAACTACAGTAGCAGTTAATAGGCCAATCCTAGAAAGCAGTATTTCAAATTTGGTGTAAATTGGTAGCTCCCATATATATGATTTATCTGATTTGAGGTTTAAAGTCTCTCACAGGCGTAAAATGCAACAATGATCTTTGGTACCAGATATTAGATATAGCTCTGAAATAATATATCAAATTTTATCAAGATCGATTTAGATTTGGATATAGCTCCCAAATATATCTTCAACAGATTTCGGGTTAATTGTGCACCAAATAGTCAATATCAGTTCAAATGACCTGAATTTTGGCCTATCCAGCCGAACCCAGTCTAGAAGCAAGTACATTGAATTTGGTGAAAATCGGTTCAGATATAGCCATACAGGGTGAGAAAAAAATCTGCAACAAAGTCAAACGCAATATTTTTTGTCGGAAATAGCATCAAATTTTAAAATAAATTTAGATTTCTTCGAATTTGTCACCTTTGGCACGAATTATGGCCTTCAAACGGCCAATGAAACCGTCACACGCTGCCCGAATGTTGCTCTGCGTTATTTGGCCCATTTCCGGCGAAGCGCTTGCTTGAAGTAATCGACAATTTGGTGTTTTTAGTGCCAATCTTGCTTTCCAAAATACTCCAGACACAGTAGGCCAACGGATTGGTATCCGAAGATTTTGGTGGCCAGTGTGCGCTGGAAATGAAGCGAGGAACCTCATTTTGTAACCATTCTTGGTTGGCGCTTGCTTAGTGCGATGATGCTGAGTCCGAAGAGTTGAGTTCTGGTGGCCAACCGAAGGTGCACATTTTCAGCTGACCTCTTTGGCAAGTAAACACGATAATTTTGTTTGTTTACAAACTGCTGGTCAACGAATGTTTTCTCATCGGAGAAAACCAATTTCGGCAGTTCACCATTTCCGGCCAAGCGAAGCAACTCTTTAGCTCTTTTGAGTCTATTTTCTTTCTGTTACGGTGTAAGTTCTTGCACCTTTGTAATTTCAATGGCTTTACACCGAGCTTATTTTTCAATATTTGCTGAATGGAATATTGCAATATTTTCAGCTCACAAGTCATGTTTCGGCCACTGCGACGCGGGTTTCGATCAAGTCGCTTTATTACTATACGAACCATTTCTGCTGATGTTGCTGTTTTCTACCGTCCACTTCCTTGACGTCGGGCTATGCTATCAGTATCACGGTAACGAGCGATGGTACGAGACACAAAAGATTTATTCACATTCAAATGCTGGAGTGCTATAACGATAGCCACTTGTGGTTTTCCAGCCAAATATAAAGAAATCACACTATCACGCTTGAATTCCATCATGAATAACTTTTTTTCTGGAAAATTCTCACCAAAATGCTTTTGTACGCTTGTAAACAATATAATGAGCTGTAACTAGAATAATTTTAACAGCTGTCGGACAAGTGGCTTAGAAATGACAGAATTCTCAAGTTGGTTGCAGTTTTTTTCATCACACCCTGTATATGTTTTATCCGATTTAGTGGTTAATTCCCACACAAGATCGGTTACAGGGGCTCTGCTAAATATGCATAGTGGTGATGATAATTCGCCATCAAGCTACGCAGTAGCCAATATCTTTCCACTTCCTTTAAAATACTTTACACACATTTCATCCTTATTAATCATCTTTCTCGATTTCCTATCTTTTTAGATATTTTACCAACCACGACCGTTTGTTTATTCCTTGGATAGCAACAAGAACGAGAATATCTACCAAGATAATGCAAGCAAAATAGACTATCTACAGCTATTGTTAATACTTCTACTATTATTTATTGTAAAAAAAATAAACCAAAAACATAAGAGAAAGGACTTTTGTTGTTCCAAAACGAATAGAGCAACAACTACAATAAAGAAACACAGCGACAACGTATTGTACAATACAAAGAGAAAAGAAAAAAATATATAAGTCAGTCGGTCATTTTGCCAGACAGTGAGCCAATAAAGCTAGAACGAAATAACACTTGACAAATCTATAACCTAAAAAGGCAAAGAAAGACATCAATATGAAATACACAAGCAACAATAGCAACGCTGAAACCCAAAATATAACAAATGGCAGCTGCAGCAGCAGCAACAGTCATAACAACAGCAATAACGCACCAACCATGGTCACGTCTCCGACGTTGACAACAACAACCAATACGACCAATGGTGGCAGTACTAATTCCACCGGGAATGCATTATTTTGCGAACAAGTGAACACGGTCACAAATCTCTTCGAGAAATGGAACGACTGTGAGCGTACGGTGGTAATGTATGCCCTGCTAAAGCGTCTGCGTTATCCCAGCTTGAAATTTCTACAATATTCCATTGATAATACCTTGACACAGAACATGGGTTCCACATCCAATCTAAGCACCGTAGTCATCGATATGAATGCCAATAATCCATCATATTTGCAGAATCTATTGAATGCCTACAAGACATTTCATTTGGGCGATTTAGTTGATACGCTGTCTTCATCATCATCGGACAAAGATTCAATGCCATCGTGCTATGGATCTGATTTTCAATTAACACAATGCGATGAGAGAAAATTGTATGGGAAGAAAGAAGATATATTGCACGAGGTATTGAATATGTTACCTCTACTAAAGCCAGGCAATGAAGAGGCCAAAATGATATATCTATCGTTGATACCGCTGGCCGTAAAGGATACAATACGTCAAATTGTACCAACCGAATTGGTGCAGCAAATATTCTCCTATATGCTAATACATTCAGCCATATCGAGTGAGGATCGTAGGTGAGTAATATTGTGTTTCTCATTTTATTATTTAGAAAATAATTCCCAAAGAATGTCTAGGTTTGAAATATATGTATTTTAACACTCTAGTTATTAGCGTTATAGTTTATTATTCGTATGCTGGCCATTTATCACCAACAGAGGCTACATGATGATGTCCAAGGAGGTTTGTGTGCAGCAGCTGTACCCCTAAGGCTTTAGTTCATTAATGAACTTATTTTGACTGCAGTGGTTATAAAAGATCTAGAGTCGTCTTTATAAGCCGTCTAGTTGTGTATGTTTTTATACCCTCAGCCATAACGGGTTTAGACACTAGGGTTTAACGGGTTTAGACACTAGGTATCTTTGAACCAAATCCGTTTAAGGACATTTGGAGTCGATCTAGCGATGTTTGGCTTGTGCGCACGATAACTCTCGAAATTTGGTCCAAGCTTGGTACATCGTAATATTATTATTAAACTTAGATCGAGTTCGTAGATGGACAATATCGGTCCACTAATCCTAATATTTGCATTGGCGCTAATTCTGGCGTGAAGATGGAATATATCGGTCCACTTCTTCCGGTACCTCCCCCACAAAGGGTTTAAATTTTGAATATTCGCGAAACTCATAAAACACGAAATTAATATCCGATTCCATTCAGATTTGACACATCTCAATATTTCCATCAATACAAGATCTGTTATAAAGATTGTGGAGTTTGGACCATTCCTTGTGGTACTTCCCCCACAAAGGGTCAAAGTTTTGAATAACAAAACCGATCGTAAAATCCGAAATAAGCATCCGGTTCTCTTTAAATTACACACATGACAATATTTCTATCAAACCAAGGCCTGGCTTGAAGATGGGATATATTAGTCCACTCCTTCTGGCACCTCTCCCATTAAAGGTCAACATTTTGGGTATCCATGAAGCTGATAAAACGCGAAATTAATATCCAATTCCATTAAGACTTGGTGCATCTTAACATTTCCATCAACACAATCAAAATCTATGATTTCGCATAAAATTGGATAAAATTGTTAAATTTCTTTCAATTTGCACATACCAATATATTTATCTCTATTAGATGAAGTATGAAAATGGAATACTTCGATCCACTATATCTGTTACCTCACGCATGTTTCCACTGTTTCCAAAAATGTTCACATATCTCATATAAACTGAAGGGCGCATATATAATTCAAATCTGGCACGTTGTCAATATTGGCCAACTGCTTCGAAACCTCCCCCATAAAGGGTCAACAGTTTGAATAATCATAACTCAAGGCTGGGGGTATAAATCTGTCGGCAAAACCGACAATTGCTATTTTTCTTGTTTTACATATCTCATGGAACTTTAAATATAATCATTTCATATTTCCTTTGCAGATCCTTAAATGGTTGGTTGCGACACCTGGAAGATCATTTACAATCTTCCAGTAATTGTGCATCATACAATATGGGTGTACCTCCCCCATCAATGCATAGTTCAACTTTCATATCAAATCAAAATAGCCTTGTTAGTGGTCTATTGTTGGAAAATCCAACTATGACTACATCTGGATCGTCGGCTACTTCATCGTCATCTTCGGCTTTGTCAATTTCTTCGACAGCATCGAATGCATCGGCAGCCTCATCGTTTGGCAACTTGACGCAGAATTGTAATTCAACAACAATTTCTCAATCAATTATGGGATCACGCAATACAGACTGGCAAACAATACAACCTCCAAGCAGGCATCAACTGCAGCAACAGCAGCATCAACAACAACAACAACATCATCAGCAGCAACAACAAACTAACAAACAACCACCATCAAGTATAGCATCAGATTGGTCATCGTTAGTTGTAAAATCCAACATCAACAACAATAATAATAATAATAGTGTGAACAATAACGGTGTTGGTGGAGGTGGTGGTGGCGGTGTCAGTGCCGGTGGAGGAAATGCTGGTGGTGCTAATGGTGTTGGTGTCACGGTCGGTCAACTAGCCGATCAACTCTGTGATAATTTGAATGGTATTACGCTGAATGAATTAGCATCTAGTCAAAATAGTTTAGGACTCAATATCGGAACGAGTATTGTCGATTCCTTGGGCGGTGTTGTTGGGGACACAAATAATTGTACATCGTTGGTGAATGGTCTGACTGCGTCTGTTACCGGTTCAACGGTGGCAACAACACCCAATCTCTTTGGCACACAAACCAATCCAATTATTAATATAATTAATAATAACAATAATTGTAGTAGTCAATTGAATGGTATCGATGATCATGACACCTCATTCTCTAAGAATGGTACTGAAATTTTAGATTTTGATCCCAATTCAAATACAATGAACAATTGCGATAGTTGCAGCAACAATGGAAGTAACAACTTGGGTCAGTTACAGGTAAGTTGAATAAACAACTTGATTTTATTTGAATATTATAATAATATCTATTTCAATTTCATTTTTAGCCACAAATGGGTTATGCATCCATATTGATGAGCAATTGTGGTGATCACTTAGACATAAATCGTTGGAGTTTGGATAGCAAATATGCCGCTCTTAAAACACGACGTTCCAACAGTCTTACCACTCAAACCATATCCTCATCTGCTTCGTCATCTAACTCATCAGTCATCACTGTCAATGACAATTGTTCAAACTCTACGGAAAACTTGGCCCAATTTGCCAACAAACCACGCAGTTTTTCACTGTCGATTGAACATCATCGTGGCTCTTTGACCAATAGTGGTTCGGATACACGTCTGGATGATTTCAAACCGAACTACATAAAATTTCAAACAAGAAACGTTGGCATGTCCAGCATTGGCCTGTGGCTAAAATCATTGCGTCTACATAAATACATCGAACTTTTCAAGAATATGACATACGAGGATATGTTGCAGATAACCGAGGAATATTTACAAAGTTTAGGTGTAACCAAAGGTGCTTCCCATAAATTGGCTCTGTGCATAGATAAACTTAAGGAGCGTTGCAATCATTTGGCCAAAATGGAACATGAACTGATGAATGGCCAGCTTAAGCTGCAGGCAGCCATTGAAGAGTTGGCCAATATTGTTCTCACACCCATGAAACCAATAGAATTAGTTGCCGCAGGCGAAGATAATGTTGCTTTAATGTTTTTGAAAATTGTTGATTTGGGTACGTTTTAAGGGGGTAGCTTAACATTCATTTAGAGTAATAATTTCAAACTGTCTTTTTAGTTTGTACCATTGCTCAAAAAGACCCATATGCTGTGGTTGATGATGATAATATCAGTGTAATCTTGTGGATATTGGATCGGTCCATACACAATGAGGCTTTTGTGAATCACGTAAATCAATTGAAGGAATTGAAGTTCAAGTTGTCGAAATTGAAGATGTCATTAACCCCAAAAATGCACCACAATAAAAATGGCAGCAATGGCAATTTGAATAAACCCAGGTGAGTTAAAAAAGAAACATTTTAATTGGATATCATAGTTAATAATTTACATTAGGTTTATACCTATATTTCACAATTAAAATAATTTTTTTTAAAGTGCAACGACTTTATATTGTATTTATTTATGATGTGAACTCATGCAGCAACGCTAAAGCGACTAACTGTTTTTACGTGTTTATACATTTGTTTATAACAGGCAAAAGAAAACGAGATAGGCCCATAGTTAGTTTTGATAATCTGCATAAAATCACATGCACTCTGAATCAACGATAATTGGGGAAATATGTCAACTATAGCTCAGAAATACCTTTGCTAAATTTTATCGAGATCGGTTCAGATTTGGATATAGCTCCCATATATATCTTCGTCCGATTTGCCTTTTATTGTGCACCAAACTTGTAATATTAGCCCAAATGGGATGGAACTTGGTACCTACCAGATTGAGACCAGAAACTAATATGCCAAATTTGGTGAAAAATGGGAGCCATAGCTCCCATACATATTCTTCACCCGATTTGCTATATTTGTTCTCCACAGCCGTAATAAGCCCTCTGTAACAACGATATTCAGGGAAATACATCAAACACAGCTCAGAAATACATTTGCCTAATTTTATTGAGATCGGTTCAGATTTGGATATAGCTAACAAATATTTGAAGTGAATTGTACAACAAATGGATAATAAAAGTTCGAATTGAAAAGACACAAATGTTTCGATAAATGTAGTCCTTTGGACTATAAATTGTAACTGTAATCGTAGTTGGTATTATTTAATTCTCACAAATCCCCCTAAAAGTTTATTTTTGTTATGTGAAGCTCTACTAAATATTGAAAGCGGTTTAGGGTATCTTTACTGGTTTTTAAAGTGCAAATTACGGTTTGGTCTTGGGAGAGCTCAAATACTAAATCGGATGCAATAACTCCAAAAAAATTAAACATAATTAAAGCAAAGTTCTACTTATTTATTAACACGAATTGTGATTGTATCTTATATAAATTCAATATTTTTCGATATAATGGACTGTTGGAATGGCCCAAAATATTGATTATAAAAACTATAAATGAGAGTTATATCAATTGTATAACTTTTCAAATTTTATCTGCGTCAACCATTAAACAACGCTGTGCTCAGGATATTTAGGGCTTAGAATGAACCATAATCCTAGACATTGTTTAAATTTTGCAGTCGTTCTGCAGTTCTCTCCTAAAGACCACTAGACGTTAATTTTTTTATGACGTCTTAGTTTAGGACAGCGCTAAAGCCTAGCATTTTGGATGGTCATCGAATAATATTTAGCTGGTGAAATAGACCACAATTTTGTGTGAAAAAAAAACTCGAAAATTAACGAAGTAACAAATACTTGAAAGTCGCACTTTTGGTCTTTACATTGATGTTAATTTCGTTGACTAATATATCCAAATATCGGCGATACAGGGGATCATATAGAGGAATCTACATTTTCAAATATTGTTTTGAATATCATTAACATGACATAAGGCAAATGTTTCGAGGTTTCTGTCAAAAAACCAAGATAAAACTTTCGCAGGACAATGTGACATTATTTTAAGAATGAATTGAAGTTAATTTGTTATTATGCATGCATTTTTATTGTGAAATATTTGTTTTTTCCGGAAGAACAATCTGGTATTTGACACATTAGGAACACAGACGCGTTTTTTAGATATCGTATGTTTTCGGAAAATATTGGTTCCAGATCCATGATGAATAAAGTAAAAAAGTAGCAACATTTCAACATATGCTTTTATTATGTGGTAGAAATTAGGATGTTTCTTAGGGGTAAATATGGTTTCAGATCTGCAGAAACTTAAGCACATATTATTGTGTTGTAGGGTATGAAATTGTCGACCATTGCCGACTGTAGCCATTGCTTTCTTTTTTACATTCCGATTCAATAAAACCTTGTTTGTGAAAATTTATCCAAAAGATCCGCGGACTCTAAAAATTCATTTTTGTTGTAGTAGCTGCATTAAAATCGTTATTTTCAAATATTTTATGGTTTAAAAAAATAATAAAACAAATTCAAGAATTAAAAAAACGCATTTATTGTAATACTTTAATGCGTAAATAAACAAATCGCTCGTTCTATTATCGCGTGAAAATGCCAGTTACAGCTGGCCATGAAAAAAGCAGGATCATGCCAAACACGAAGGGTTTGTCCTTCGGATTTATTAATTTTATAGGAAATGCCAAGCGTGCAGGAAACTGCAAGTATTTGAAGTTGAGTGACATTTCTGTTGCAATTAGAGAATTCGAGATAGTAGCATACTTCCCCGTAATAATTTTTTGGCAAATTTATTTTTGTTCCAAATTCAGTTATGCATTTCAAAGTCTAAATTTTTGGGAGTTATCTCCGCTTCTGATGCTTCAGGCGATGTTGTAGTATACTGAAAATTTTCAGGAAAATCTGTGCGGTTTTCGACTCCATAAATAACATACAAACATTTTCCTATTTTTTAGATATAGAAGAAGATTGGAGTCACCAATAGTTCGTTATACATTAACAGCTTTGTTGCTTTAAATAATTAGTGTTTTTAAAATATGATTTCGTTGTTTTTAAATAGTTAGGCTTTAATCACATTTTTGTTGTTTTTATAAAAGCAACATTAATTTATTTAGTGGATAGGAGGTAAGACAGGGAATGCCATGGTTACGGAAATCCGCGTTACTTAATTTTTTTTTGTCGGGGGATACTCTCCCCCGTTTTAGTTACAAACATTAAAGCTCAACTCAGGGACCAATTAGATGCAGACGACTTAATATTACTCACAGAAAGTGAGAATATCATTTCTCACTCTCAAAGCACAAAACAGAAATCTATACACACCAACAAACTAGACGCATTAAAACAACAACAACACTGTCAACTGAACATACAACACAACAAGGAATGGTTCGTAAATAAAACAGATACTGACATACCCAACAACGTTGAATGGTTGCTGTCTCTTGGGCCGAAGTTCTCTTTGCCAACAACAAAAACGACGTTCCCCTTGTTTGATATTATCGCTGAGGGAGAAGAGTGCATTCAAACGTTGGATAACAGAGAACAACAAGAGAATGCGAGAATAAATTTTATTACTCTGATAAATGACCACACAAGGAAAACGACATTAGGGAAAAGAGATCGGTTTGTTCTAAACACAGTGGACCAAACGGCGAAATTTTTGAAACAAAATAAAGAATTATTAATATTAAATGCAGACAAGGGTGGAAAAACTGTTGCCATGTCAAAAACAGAATATGATTCAAAAATGAACGCAATTTTAATGGACATGTGTACTTACAAACGTGTAAGAAAAGACCCAACAACAGGACTACAAGAGAAAAACAATAAATTAGTTATAAAATTATTTGAGTTAAAACTAATTGACGAAAAAGTGAAATATAACTTAATAAATAGAACGTCAATACCACCAAAGATATATGGATTGCCCAAAATCCATAAGGAGGGAACACCACTACGACCAATATGTTCATTTACAAATTCGCCGACTTATGAGTTATCTAGATATATATCAAAAATCCTAAAAGTATTGACAGTTGATTCAAAATACAACATTAAAGATGCAATAGACTTCAAATCCAGGATTAATAACCAACATATTGAAGATGACGAAATTTTAATTTCATTTGACGTGGTTTCCTTGTTCCCAAGCATTCCAGTAAACTTGGCAATTAGTGCTATTAAAGATAGTTGGTCTATTATAAAGGAACATACACATATACCAATGGATCTTTTTATTGACATTTTGACAACATGTATTAAGGACGCTAGATATTTCGCATATAAGGATAAGATATATGAACAACAAAAAGGCATGCCGATGGGCTCACCTATTTCACCAATCATTGCTGACATAATAATGGAGAAACTTCTTGACGAAACTATGAACAAATTGACGACCAAACCCAGATTCTTGACAAAATATGTGGACGACATATTTTGCATCGTAAAAAAGGAGGAAGTGGAAAATACACTTAAGACGCTGAATATGTACAACAAACAACTACGGTTTACGATGGAGAGTGAATTGAATAATCAGTTACCATATCTAGATAGCTTAGTACAAAGAGAAGGAAAAAAGTTGCTATTAGATTGGTACCAAAAGCCAACAGCCTCGGGTAGATTAATTAATTACCATTCAAAGCATCCGCGACGAATAAAAATCAACACGGCCACAAACTTTATCCAAAGGGTCTTGAAAATAAGTGACAGAAAATTCCATGCAAAGAACAAAATCAAAATAATAAAGATTTTAAAAATGAATGACTTCCCTAGTAACATTGTTAATGAATTGATTAAACGCGCTGAGGGTAATAGAGCATACCAAAATACAAAATTAGTGGAAAAGACATATAAAAGATCTACATATATACCAGGGTTTTCGGAAAGATTTTCTTCATCAAACATGTATAACAGTGAGAAGTATCAATTGGCATTCAGAAGCAGTAACACCAACAATAATTTCTTTAGTAGAACTAAAACAAAAATTCCACACGAGGATAAATCTAACGTCGTTTATAAGATTAAATGTAATGGGGACGGGTCCAACGTATGTCAGAAGGCATATGTTGGGACAACAAAATCTAAATTAAAAACTCGTATTAGCTCTCATAAATCGGACCAAAAGACAAAAACTAAACCCATAGAGCAAAAAACTGCCCTTGCTGCCCATTGCCAACAAGAAGGACATACGCCCAATTTCAAAGATGTCGACATCTTGGCACAAGAAAATAACTACAAACGTAGGTACATGTTAGAAATGCTACATATTATAAATGTACCTCCTAATAAACGAATGAACTACAAAACTGACACGGAACATTGTGCTCAAATTTATAGAAATGTCATCGAAAAGCATAAGGAAAAATTAGTTGGAAAATTCGAGTAAAAAGGAAAGGATGGAAAAGCTGCATCAGAGAACTTAAAAACAGAAGAGTTAAAATCCAATGTAATTATCGTTATAGTGTTTTGTTT